GAGAGGGTGCAGAATATTCTCAAAGGGGAGAGACACCAGCAGGTGGTTATCATACACATTGGAACTAATGACTTCGGGGAAAAAAAAAGAATGAGATTCTTTGGGGAGAATATAGGAAGTTAGGCAGGAATTTAAAAACTAGGTCCTTGAGGATAGTAATATCTGGACTACTCCCACAGCCATGAACTAATGAGAGCTGTTAAAGGAGAATAGGACAGATGAACGCATGGCTGAGGAGCTGGCCAGGGAAGAAGGATTCACATTGTTGGATCATTGGAATCTCTGCTGGGGTAGAAGTGACCTGTATAAGAAGGACAGATTACACCTAAATGGAAGGGGACTAATATACTGGCAGGGTGATTTGCTAGAGCTGCTCAGGAGGATTTAAACTACTAAAGGTTGGGGGGGTTGGGGATTGCAGGGAGATCGTGAGGAAAGAAATCAGTCTGAGACTGGTACAGTTCAGAAAAGGAGTCAAACAGACAGGGCTGGCAAGAACAAAAAACAAGGGAGGGCTGATAAATTAAACTGCATTTATTTCAATGCAAGAGGCCTAACAGGTAAGGCAGACAAACTCAGAACATGGGGCTGGGATATCATAGCAATTGCACAGACATAGCTCAGATGGACAGGACTGGCAGTTTAGTGTTCCAGGCTACGGGTGCTATTGGAAGGATAGAAAGGGGGCAAGAGATGAGGGGGAGTGGCGTTTTTGATCAGGGATAATGTTACGGCTATACTTAGGGAGGATATTCCTGGGAATACATCCAGGGAAGTTATTTGGGTGGAACTGAGAAATCAGAAAGGGATGATCTCCTTATTGGGATTGTACTATAGACTGCTCCACGTCCCCTTCCCCCACGCCCAAGAGTCAGCGCCAAACTGAGAAACAAATTTACAAGGAGATCTCAGTTACCTGTAAGAATAATAGGGTTGTTATGGTAAGTGATTTTCACTTTCCTATACGTGGACTGGGACTGTCACAGTGTTAAGGGCCGAGATGGAGAGGAATTTGTCAAGTATATACAAGAAAATTTTCTGCTTCAGTATGTGGATGCACCTACTAGAGAAGGTGCAAAGCTTGACCTACTCTTGGGAAATAAGGCGGGACAGGTGACTGAGATGTCAGTGGGGGAGCACTTTGGAGCCAGGTGACTATAATTCCATTTGTTTTAAAATAGTGATGCAAAAGCACAGACAGTATCTAAAACTTAAAATCAGAAGGCGGCCAATTTTGATGGTAAGAGGCAAGAAGTTCAACTTTCAAAAGTTGATTCGGGGCAAATGTTCACAGATAAAGTGATGTCTGGAAAATGGGAAGCCTTCAAAATGAGATAACGAGAGTCCAGAAACAGTATGTTCCTGTTAGGGCAAACGGCAAGGCAGATAGGTGTAAGGAATGCTAGATGAGTAGAGAATTTGAGGTTTTGGTCAAGAATAAGAATGAAGCATATGTCAGGCATAGACAGCCAAAATCAAGTGATTCCCTAGAAGGGTATAAAGGCAGGAGGAGTGTACTTAAGAGGTAAATCAGGAGGTCAAAAGGGGAATATGAGATAGCTTTGGCAAATAGCGTTAAGTAGAATGCAAAGGGATTCTACAAATACATTAAGGAGAAAAGAGTAACCAGGGAAAGAATAGGGCCCCTTAAAGATCAGCAAGGCCACTCATGTGTGGAACCACAGGAGATGGGGGAAGATACTAAATGAGTATTTTGCATCAGTGTTTACTGAGAAGAACAATATGGAAGATAGAGAACGTGGGGAAATAAATAGTGACATCTTGAAAAATGTCCATATTACAGAGGTGCTGCTGGACATCTTGAAATGCATAAAGGTGGAGAAATCCCTGGGTCCTGATCAGGTGTACCCGAGAACTCTGTGGGAAGCTACAGAAGTGATTGCTGGGCCCCTTGCTGAGATATTAGTATCATCGATAGCACAGGCGAGGTTGGAACAGGAAGCTGGCTATCGTGGTGCCACTATTTAAGAAAGGTAGTAAGGAAAAGCCAGGGAACTATAGACCGGTGAGCCTGACATCAATGGTGGGCAAGTTGCTGGATGGAATCCTGAGGGACAGGATTTCCATGTATTTGGAAAGGCAAGGTCTGATTAGGGACAGTCAACATGGCTTTGTGCGTGGGAAATCGTGTCTCACTAACTTGATTGAGTTTTTTGAAGAAGTAGCAAAGAGAATTGATGAGGACAGAGCAGTGGATGTGATCTATATGGATTTCTCTAAGGCGTTCAACAAGGTTCCTCATGGTAGACTGGTTAGCAAGGTTAGATCACATGGAATAGAGGGAGAACTAGCTGTTTGGATACAGAACCGACTCAAAGTTAGAAGACAGAGGGTGGTCGTGGAGGGTTGCCTTTCAGATTGGAGGCCAGTGACTAGCAGCATGCCACAAGGATTGGCACTAGGTCCACTGCTTTTCGTCATTTGTGTAAATAGTTTGGATGTGAACATAGGAGGTATGATTAGTAAGTTAGCAGATGACACCTAGGTTGGAGGTGTAGTAGACAGCATAGAAGATTACCTCAGTACAACAGCATCATGATCAGATGGGCTACTGGGCCAAGGAGTGGCAGATGGAGTTTAATTTAGATTATTGTGGGATGCTGCATTTTGGAAAGGCAAATCAGGGCAGGACTTATTCGCTTAATGCTAAGTTCCTGAGGAGTGCTGCTCAACCAACACACTTTGGAGTGCAGCCTCATAATTCCTTGAAAGTGGAGTCGCACGTAGACAGGTTAGTGAAGGCGGCATTTGGTATGCTTGCCTTTACTGGTCAGTGCATTGAGTATAGGAGTTGGGAGGTCATGTTGCAGTTGATCAGGCATTGTTTAGGCCATTATTGGAATACTGCATTTCAGTCTGGTCTCCCTGCTAGAGGAAAGATGTTGTCAAACTTGAAAGGGTTCAGAAAAGATTTAAAAGGATGTTGCCAGGTATAGAGGGTTTGAGTTATAGGGAGAGGCTGTATAGACTGGAGCTATTTTCCTTGGTGCATCGGAGGCTGAGGGGTGACTTTATAGAGGTTTATAAAATCATGAAGGGCATGGATAGGGTAAATAAAAAAGGTCTTTTCCCCAGGGTGGAGGGAGTCCAAAACTAGAGGCATAGGTTTAAGGTGAGAGGGGAAATAATTAAAAGGGACCCAAGGGGCAACGTTTTCACGCAGAGGGTGGTGTGTGTATGGAACGAGATATCAGAAGTAGTGGTGGACGCTGGTACAATTACAACATTTAAAAGGCATCTGGATGGGTATATAAATAGGAAGGGTTTAGAGGGATATGGGCAAATTGGTGGCAAATGGGAATTGATTTATTTAGGATACCTGGTCAGCATGGACAAGTTGGGCCAAAGGCTCTGTTTCCATGGTGTTTATCTCAATGACTCTAACTCACACAGAAGCAATATACTCTTAAAGGTGGAGGACGATAACAGTTCGAAAAAAAATTGTTTCAGTAATTGACTGGGTAAGTCTTACCATATCAACAACACTATAAAAATCAAATTGTGCTTTGATTAAGTAAACAACATTGAACTTTCACATTTTAAAATAACTCATTTAAATGGAACTGCAGAGATTCTCCCTTTTCTTTGATGACAATCGTAGGAAAATAACTTTAGAAATAAGGGTTTGAACCTCTTGGAACAAGATTTGCATGCTTTTCCGATTGAGATACAAAGCAGGAATGATTGGCATCTATGCAACAAGAGGTAGAACTTGATGAAAAGTACACAAGTTATAAGTGCCCCATAAATTCTCCAGATGGCTGAGCTATTCTGCGAAGGATTCAAAGACTTAACAAGATCAGGATACAAAAGAAAACTTCCATCCTTAATCAATGTGTGCATAATTCAATGAGGTGAAACGAGCTGCTAGTGGCTTTTTATAGTTCTGAAAATCAAACAGGTTTCATCTTAATAATAATATATTTTTCAAAGAGTCCTCAGTGTTCTTCTATATGAATCACAATGGTACATCAAGTAATTATGAAGCAAAAGAAATATTGCCTTTTATTGCAAAGGTCAGATTATAGAAATAAGGAGGTCTTGCTAATACTGTAGACAAAACAAATGAGACAGCATCATTTACAGCTTTGCTCACCTTACTTAAATATGGATCTTATTTGCATTTAAAACATTTTAGAGAACTGGCTGTTTGGCTCTTCTCTGGGATGAGGTACTAGTCTTAGGAAGAAAGATTTTATAAGTTGGACCTACTTTTGTTCAAATTTACAAGAATGAGAGGTGATATTGTTGAAATTTAAGCTTCTGAGGAGGTTTGACAGGGTAGATGTGAGAGGATGTTTCCATCCATAGAGGACCCATTTCAAAATAAAGAGAAAGAATTTCATCTCCGAGGGTTGTTAACCTTTGAAATTGTCTCCCAAGTAGTGGAGGCTGGATCACTGAATACAAGTTAAACAGATTTTTCATTGACACCGGAATCCAGGGTTATTGGGGGCCAGCAAGAAAGTGGAGGAGTCAAGGCCACAATCAAATCTGCCACGGTCACACTGAATAGCACAATAGGCTGGAGGGGCCAACATACATATAGCATTGTTCAAAAATACTCCAATATTTTTATTAATAGTTGAATTACTTCAACTAGGCCTTGGACAAGTATATACAAAACAGCCTAAAAACATAGCTCCATCTCTTCCACCGTTCTCATTTCATTCAGCAAGCCAAGTAACAGCAAAGGCTGCAATTTGATACAACTTTCCTAAATCCCGAGAGAACACTCAGGGGAAAAATTAACTATTAATAAATGCAATGATAGAAATTGATTGTACATTCTGTTCTTCTATTCTGGAATGGCAACCATTGATCCCATCACGAAGTCTCATATTTCTCACATAAATCAGGCTACTCCTTAAAAACTAAGAGCCCCATATCATTTATCATCTCAATGAATTCTCTAAATTCTCAGGGCACCTTCTGTTATCCACAGTGATCAGCCACAATTACCTGTAGGTTTCACATACCATTTAACCTCCTTATAAGCGCTTCTTCCTGCAGAATTATGCAGTGGATTTGTTCATCCAAGTCTTCCAGGATCTAAAAATTTAACAGATACAATTAAAAAGAAAAAAAAACTATGACATTAATTTAAAAATAACACAGAAAATTTAATTTGCTGCATAATTGTATTTTCAGCCCAAATGGAGCCATTCAGACCTTGCGATAGTGTTGCCACTGGATTCTAGCTGCCTGTCCTCTCCAGGTATCTTCTGTCATCTTCCTTTTCAAATATTATTCAGTTAGCTTTTCGCTCACTTTGCTCAAGGGTCATGTGCTTCTAACTTTGATTATGATAAACAGTTCCTCTAGATTTTCTTTCAATCATAACCAGTGTCTATAACTCAACTCCATTTTATCAACTTTGGAAATAATCTTACACTATCTATCTTCCTGAAACTGCTCTTATTTTTGAACTTCATAACTATTTATCATGCCCACTGTTCCAGTCTTTTTCCACAGCTATATTATTTCAAACCCAATATTATTCAGGTGGAACAAAAACAGAAGTTGCTGGAAAAGCTCAGCAGGTCTGGAAGCACCTGTGGAGAGAAAGCAGAGTTAACGTTTCAGGTTGAGACACCCTTCCTCAGACTTTCTCTCCACAGGTGCTGCCAGACCTGTTGAGCTTTGCCAACAATTTCTGTTTTTGTTTCTGATTTACAGCATCTGCAGTTCCTTCGGTGTTTATTATTCAGGTGAATCGTACCATATAATAATATATGAATTAGGAGCATAAGTAGGTTATTCAGCCTCTCAAGCCTGCTCTGCCATTCTATTAAATAACGGCTGATCTGCTGGTAGCTTCAAATCTCCAATCCCACCTACCCCTGACAACCTTCATCTCTTCCTTAACAAGAATCTATCTGCCTCTGCTTAAAAATATTCAAACACCTCTGCTTTCACCACTTTTTCAGGAAAATATCCATAGCTTGACTATCCTTTTTATAATACTGTACAAGAATTGCACATAACATCCTAGCAGCGGGCTAACCAATGTGCTCACTACATTCAACATCACCAGAAATTATTTTTGGACTCCTTTATTAGAAATTTATTTGAAACGTACTTTCTTGCACTGCTCGTATGTTTTCTGTAAAAAGTATACATATTAACATCCGAGGGATACCATGGACAAGTAATTGAACTGCAATACCTATATAAATACTGCTGTTACAAGAGGTCAGAGACTAGGAATCCTGCAGCTGGTACCTCACCCCATGACTCCCAAAAGCCTATCAAACCATTTACAAAATACAAGCCAGGTATGAGATAAAATATGCCCCAGTAGACTGGATGAGTGCAGCTCGAAGAAAATCACATCCACAAACAGTCACTTCACCAATAAGTTCAGTAGTGGTAATGTGTACCACATGCAAAACGCACAGCTGCAATTCAGCAACATTCTATTTGACAGATGCCATATTGGAGGAAGTTTCAGGATTTGTTCCAGTGACTCCATAGGAAAACGGATATATTTCTAAACCAGGATGGCGAGTGGCTTGGAGGGGAATTTGCAGGTGGTCATGTAAACGGACTGCAGTGGTTCAAGGAGGTAGCTCTCTGACACCTTCTCAAACATAACTAGGAATGGGAAATAAACATTGGCCTAGCCAGCAACACCAACTTCCCATGAATGAATTAATAAATGCTTCCTCCTTTTTGTTTCTGCATTCAATCTATCTTATTGTCTGCCCAATGGATCAATTCTGTCCCTATTTTAATGTAAGGTTACAATATACTTAAAATTTAGAAACATGTTAATAGCATGTGCAAGTATCATCCTTGTTAGAGAGTCTTAGAGTCATATAGTAATACAGGCCCTTCGGCCCAAACTGGTCCATGCTGACCATGGTACCCACTCAGCTAGTTCCAATTGCCCGCATTTGGTCCATATTCCTCTAAATCCTTTCCCATCCACATATCTAACCAAATGTTTTGTTTTTTTTTACATGCTGCCATTTACCTGCCTCAACCACTTTTGCCAGCAGTCTATTCCATATACACACCACTCTCTGCGTGAAGAAGGTGCCCTTCAGGTCCCTTCTTAAATCTATCCCCTCCAACTTAAACTTATGCCTCCCAGTTTCAATTCCCTATCCCTGGGATAAAGACTATGCATTCATCCTATCTATGCCCCTCATGATTTTATACACCTCAATCTCCTACATTCCAAGGAATAGTCCTATTCTAACCAACCTCTCCCTTTAGCTCAGGCCTACTAGTCCTGGAAATATCCTCGTAAATCTTATTTGCACACTTTCCAGTTTAACTAAGTCTATCTTATAACAGGGTGACCAAAACTGTACACAATACTCCAAGTGTGGCCTCACCAATGACTTATACAACTGTAACATAACATCCCAACTCCTATACTCAATGCCTCAACCGATGAAGGCCAGTATGCTAAATGCCTACTTCACCACTCTGTCCACCTGTGATGCCACTTTCAACAAATTATATACTTGTAGAACAGAGGGACCTAGGAGTACAACACTCCTCAGGACCTTACCATTTACTGTATAAGTCCTACCTTGGTTTGACTTTCCAATGTGCAACACCTCATACTTATCTGTATTGAATTCCATTTGCCAATCCTCAGCCCATTTCCCCATCTGATCAAGATCCCTCTGTAATTTTCGATAACTTTCCTCACTATCAACGATACTGCCTAATTTTGTATCATTGGTAAACTTACTAATCATGCCTTGTACATTCACATCCAAATCATTTATATAAATAACAAAGGTCCCAGCACCGACCCCTGTGGCACACTATTAGTCGCAGGCCTCCAGTCCAAGAAATAATCTCACCCTCTGCTTCCTGCCATTGAGCCAATTTTGAATCCAATTAGCTAGCTCTTCCTGGATCCCACGTGACCTAACTTTCATGACTAGCTTGCCATGCAGTACCTTGTCAAAGGTCTTCGTAATTGTTCATTTAATAACGTACCACTTTGAAACAGTTCTTGTGGTTTCAAAACCTACAAAATATTCAGTGCACATCTGCGGCACAGCGGCTCAGGTGGTCAGCACTGCCGTATCAAAGCACTAGGGACCGAGGTTCAATTCCAGCCTCGAGTAACTGTGCAGTTTGCACATTCTACCTGTGTCTACACGGGTTTCCTCCAGGTGCTCTGATTTCCTCCCACAGTCCAAAGATGTGCAGATTAGACGTGTTGACCTTGCTAAATCACCCATTGTGTGCAGGCCTGTGCGGGCTCGGTGGGTTAGCCATAAGAAATGCAGGGTTGCAGGGATAGGGTAGGGGGCTGGGGCTGGGGCTGGGTGGGATGCTCTTCAGAGAGTCGGTGCAGATTCGAAGCGCCAAATGGCCTCTTTCTGCACTGAAGGGATGCTATGATTCTACATCTGACTCACACCAGGTACTCTTTCTTCAGTGTTGAAGAGGCTGTTATATGGACAAGACAACAAGGCCAATCAGCCTGATCAAGTAGCATAAGACAAACCACAGCATAAGCTGACGATAATCATGCCATTCCCTTAGTGGCATGATCAGCACTGCTCTCTCAACTACATCGGGCACATACCTTGAAATTCAAATAATGTTTCTTGGATTGTGTGCACAAATTTGCATTTGCTTCCATCTCCCAGCAACGGTAACTGCATTTCAAAATTTTCAATGAATCAAAAATGATTAATTGATTGGAAAGTGCTTTGAAATATGACAATGTGATGAGATTTATAAGACGGCAGACTCTTCACTGAATAGTAACTGCACTAGTGATCCTTTCATATCCCTCTAAAAATTAATACTTATCACATATATCTATCATTTCCAAACTTTCAAGATGATCTCTATCTCTCTAAGTGGTTCTTTCACTGTTTTTTTTACTTGAGTTGATACAAGGCCTGCTTTTCATCCTCATCATGACCTACAACATGCTTTCCTAACCTCTTACTTTCTTGATGCTTAAATTTGCATAATTTCCTTCTGTGATAAGCCATCTTAACAAAAAATACCAACTTCTCAACCTTTTTTGTGCGCTAGCCTCAATTTAGCCTAATTTATGTATTATCAGCAAAACAGTGTACATTGCTCTGCAAACAATAAGTCATGTATGAATTTTTGTTGTTTATCCTATATGGATTCCCTAATTCAGTGAAATAATGCGACCAGATCCATCATCACATATATCATACTGACAGCAAGCACAAAAATTCTACCGAGAATGCTCGAAATCAATAATTGATATTTAATTATCTGTCACTAAATTTTCCAGTTAGGTTTCTGCTACTTCAAAACGTACATAAGCAAAAGCATAAGCTATTGTTGTATTGGATGTTACGGGCCAGATCAAACTTCCTCAAAACACGTCAAGGAGATACACTAGATCCTAACATTTTCCTCTTTTTAAAACCAAGTGCCGGGTGTTGCATTCTGGATGCAATTTGATTAGTCAAACTACCAGGCTTGAAGCAAAACCCACTTTATTCATTCATTACAGTTAAAATGCAGACAAAAGAAAGGAGGATTGAAATATCTTAACAGAATTATAGATTATTTAACTCCTAAACAACAACTGTTCCAATAAAATAAAATCCCATAAACACACCCTTGGCAAAGGCAAATCCAGTAAAATAGATTTGTCTCACATGCAATTCTCCAGCCCAAGAACATCAAGAGAAAACCTCAGAGACAGAGAGAACTCAAGCGTTTTGTTGTAGTAGAGAGAGATGTATTGCAGCCTCCAAACCCCAACAGCTACTGAAAGCTAAATTAAATTCCTGGTTCTGTGGGAGCTTGACTGCAGCCATTCAGGTTTCTTCTACTGTTGCAACTTTTCAAAGAAACATCCAAAGACATGCAAACATTCATGAGTACAGTCCATTTTTTCCTGCTACCAAACGCCTTTGCATTCCTTCATCAAAGTCGTGACAATGTATCAGCAATTACATTCTCTTGCCCTGCCATGAGTATAATTTTCAAATTAAATAGCTGCAATAATTAGCTCCATCTAAACAGACTGGAATTTTTATCCTTAAATTTTCCCAAAAAAAACTTTTAAGGGGATATGA